TACCTCTGAAAATAGCCTGTCCCTTACAGATACATCCACACCACCATTCTGGTAAATCCTCCAAAGTTTCTGGTTCACACTCCTTGGTCATAATCCGAGTCCGGAGAGGTCTGACTTCCTGACATTGGTGATTCACTTAAAGAATTATACCCAACTAATGAATTAACAGTCTGCGATTCAGGTGACGCAGTAAGTGGTGATTGATCTTCACTACCCCATAAATTTCTCATTCGACTGTTACCTCTTCTGCCAACATTAGCCCCAGTAATTGAACCCATATTACTCTCAAACTTTGAGCCTTTGTCAGTGGCTAGTCTTCTTGCTGTTTGCAGTGCTTCAAATGCAGCTCCTCTAACATAAGCCATCTGACCAGACTGACACTTTTCCATCTCCTCTATTACCAACCCAAGCTCTGAAAATATGCTTTTCGGGTCCAAACACTTCATTAACAAATTTACCATTTGAATGGCTGATAGCTTTTTCTGAGAATTACCCTCTGCAACACCAGCATCCAAAATCGTAAACCAGAGTGAATTAACAATCTAGCATATGCTTCAACAAGTAGACTACTTTTCTGAGCCAAAGCCATGACTAAAGCCATGTGTGACTGGTCAGGGTTGGGTTCTTCAAAGCCCCAGCAACTCTCTGACAAACTTCATTGACCATCTCATTTGAAGCAAACCGCAGTTATCTGAGTCCACGAGAGCCTTCAAACAGAGGGCAGCTCCAGAAGATAGGCTGTCTAGGCTACCCAAAAGAGAATCTGAGAGAGGCTTACAGAGAGAGTGAATTATATGCCTCTTCTTCTCTTCTGGGTTGTTGGTTCCATCCCATACCTAGCAATAGCTGGAACCACCTTTGAGCAAGCCTGGTGAAGTGCAAAAGATCCAGCACTTGAAGTTAAGTTCTTGATGATGGTAGCCATGATGCTATCAATGTGAGGGACAATTTTCGGGCCATGGACACGAGCAAGAACTTCGTACAGTGGTATATGTGTTCCCTGGATGATATCCCGGTTTCTTTTTTCTCAGAAATCTGTACAAGAAAATGCGGAATTGCCTTCGAATCCAATTCTTTTACATAAGAATTCAGTGCCTTCATTGCTGATTTCCTACATTCGGCATCCTTGTCCAGATTTTCTAACTCTCTCCGGAGCACTGGGCTAAGATTTCTTCCATTGTCAATACTAATCTAAACACAACCCCAGAAAAAAGGTTATAGAGCTAACCCTAAACTTGGGTCTCTGACTTGAGCTTATGAAAATAGACCACACCCCTTCCAGAAGAAAAAAATAATGAATTATACAAAAAGTCTTCTCGCACTAGTGACGCTTTACTATGCACATATCCAAGAGCCGTAAAGTGAGGATAATCAACTTATGTTCTGTCCCCCCACCCCCCCCCCCAAAAAAAAAAAAAAAAAAAAAAAAAAAAACACACACACACACAACCAAAACTCACAAAACCCCCATATGGTAGTATACTAATTGGTAACCCAGCCCAAGGACTAACAAGCATTCTAACTTTTGATTCACCCATTCTTTGAAAGGAAAACTACCTTAAAGGTCGGTTTTGTGATAGTTCATAACTTGGGCCTCCATATTTACCCTACCAAATTAAAAATCATTGAAGCTAACCAATGACTGGTTTTAAGTATTCAACAACAAAATTTTAATTTTTTACTTATTATACCTGAAACCAACTTGACTAAAGTGTTATGGAGAAAAACTTAATGTCTCTGCAACGGAATTGATTACAGCAGAACTAAGAACTCGCATGCATTCAACACTATCACTTTGTGGGTATATCATATACTGAAACATAGAACAGCGGTCTCCATGTTTTAGGGTACTAGGAAACAGTTTTAGTTTCTTGGCACAGAAATCAAAAATAGTTCTCTAATCTGAGAACATAGTGAAATTCACACACACACACACAGAGGATTACAAACAAGAACTTAAAACTTCAGTAAAACAAATGGGTATCCAAGATTATAAGAAAAAAAAAATCAAGCTTTGACAAAACAATAGTCATACCTTTGCGTTAATGATACTCTCTGTGTATCGTCTTGCTGATGAGTACTGATACTGTGCAGGGGTTTGTTTTGTTATGTACAGATTCTTACACATACAGTACGATGAAAATCTAAGTGATAAAGGGTAACAAGGGGAAAAGACATGTCATTGGGTTTCTTGAATTGAAAGACCAAAAAAAAACGAATTGAATGAGAAACTTTCTATATTTTTGGCCGGTTTTTGGAGTGCCGTGTTCTTCGTTTCAATGCCATGAGCTGTCCGATTAAATTACCTTATTCCTCTGTGTCTATGACATGGTGATAGTAGGCTTCCAAAATCTTTGTCTTAAATACCACCGCCATCCCTTCCTAACGTAATGTCTTATTGCTTGAACGATTTTGCCCCTGTGCTAAAAAGGAATTTTTTAACATGGTGGAATTAAGGAATTAATAATAAAGGGTATATCACCCTCAAGATCATTGAGATTTGTCACTTTTGCACTACTTACATTTTTTTAATCCAAATTTAAATTTGAATAAAAGAATCCCTAAATTTTTTTTTCAATCCTATATTTAAATTCATACTAAATTAAGAGATACTTAAAATTTTACTAAAATTAAAAAAAAAAAAAAAGTATTCAAATCATCAATGATCATATGTCATTTTTTTTTAATAAAGATTCAATGATTATATTTTACCATCTTTTAAATTTAAATTTATTATTTTTAAATTTGAATTTGCCCTCTTTTAAGTTCGAGTTTATCCATTGAAGCCTATTATATCAAATTAAATTTTTTATTCAAATTTAAGTAAAAATTGAACCAATGTTGAAAATCATGAACTAAGGCCATCTCCAATTTCGACTCAAATATTTATTTAAATTTGAATTAATATTTAAGTAAAAAACTTAATTTGATGTAACACACCCAATGAACAAACTCGAGCCGACTCTCATCACAATTGTTTCAATCTAAGCTTAAAGTACAATACTAGCAGGCTGGATACCTTTGTTTCTCACTCTTTTGGGGCTCATTATCATTTGGGTTGATGACAGCAGAAGGACCAACAATATCCCTTGTCTGAATGCTACCCAATCACTCTAAAAGTTAAAAAAAAAAAAAAAAAATTAGAGTCACCGATCGACTAATACACATCATATAAGAACTGATTATACGTATCTGGCACAGAGTTTTTTTGTCAATAGTATACAGAGTTGAATGCTAAGTTACCAAGGCAAAAACATAGACTGCCTCTTCTTCAACAAGCTTCTGTGCAGGGGAAAAAAAATGAAAAAAAAACTTTCAACCATACCAACAATCACTGAAATGAAGGGTTACCATTTCAGCATCTGACACATAGGCAAATTCAATTTGCCTATGTGTCAGATGCTGAAATGGTAACCCTTCATTTCAGTGATTGTTGGTATGGTTGAAAGTTTTTTTTTCATTTTTTTTCCCCTGCACAGAAGCTTGTTGAAGAAAGAAGGCAGTCTATGTTTTTGCCTTGGTAACTTAGCATTCAACTCTGTATACTATTGACAAAAAAAACTCTGTGCCAGATACGTATAATCAGTTCTTATATGATGTGTATTAGTCGATCGGTGACTCTAATTTTTTTTTTTTTTTTTAACTTTAGAGTGATTGGGTAGCATTCAGACAAGGGATATTGTTGGTCTTCTGCTGTCATCAACCCAAATGATAATGAGCCCCAAAAAGAGTGAGAAACAAAAGGTATCCAGCCTGCTAGTATGTACTTTAAGCTTAGATTGAAAACAATTGTGATGAGAGTCGGCTCGAGTTGTTCATTGGGTGTGTTACATCAAATTAAGTTTTTTACTTAAATATTAATTCAAATTTAAATAAATATTTGAGTCGAAATTGGAGATGGCCTTAGTTCATGATTTCAACATTGGTTCAAATTTTTACTTAAATTTGAATAAAAAATTTAATTTGATATAATAGGCTTCAATGGATAAACTCGAACTTAAAAGAGGGCAAATTCAAATTTAAAAAATAATAAATTTAAATTTAAAAGATGGTAAAATATAATCATTGAATCTTTATTAAAAAAAATGACATATGATCATTGATGATTTGAATACTTTTTTTTTTTTTTTAATTTTAGTAAAATTTAAGTATCTCTTAATTTAGTATGAATTTAAATATAGGATTGAAAAAAAAAATTTAGGGATTCTTTTATTCAAATTTAAATTTGGATTAAAAAAATGTAAGTAGTGCAAAAGTGACAAATCTCAATGATCTTGAGGGTGATATACCTTTATTATAATTCCTTAATTCCACCATGTTAAAAAATTCCTTTTAGCACAGGGGCAAAATCGTTCAAGCAATAAGACATTACGTTAGGAAGGGATGGCGGTGGTATTTAAGACAAAGATTTTGGAAGCCTACTATCACACATGTCATAGACACAGAGGAATAAGGTAATTTAATCGGACAGCTCATGGCATTGAAACGAAGAACACGGCACTCCAAAAACCGGCCAAAAAAATATAGAAAGTTTCTCATTCAATTTCGTTTTTTTTTGGTCTTTCAATTCAAGAAACCCAATGACATGTCTTTTCCCCTTGTTACCCTTTATCACTTAGATTTTCATCGTACTGTATGTGTAAGAATCTGTACATAACAAAACAAACCCCTGCACAGTATCAGTACTCATCAGCAAGACGATACACAGAGAGGTATCATTAACGCAAAGGTATGACTATTGTTTTGTCAAAGCTTGATTTTTTTTCTTATAATCTTGGATACCCATTTGTTTTACTGAAGTTTAAGTTCTTGTTTGTAATCCTCTGTGTGTGTGTGTGTGAATTTCACTATGTCTCAGATTAGAGAACTATTTTGATTTCTGTGCCAAGAAACTAAAACTGTTCCTAGTACCCTAAAACATGGAGACCGCTGTTCTATGTTTCAGTATATGATATACCCACAAAGTGATAGTGTTGAATGCATGCGAGTTCTTAGTTCTGCTGTAATCAATTCCGTTGCAGAGACATTAAGTTTTTCTCCATAACACTTTAAGTCAAGTTGGTTCAGGTAATAATAAGTAAAAATTAAAATTTTGTTGTTGAATACTTAAAACCAGTCATTGGTTAGCTTCAATGATTTTTAATTTGGTAGGGTAAATATGGAGGCCCAAGTTATGAAACTATCACAAAAACCGACTTTAAGGTAGTTTTCCTTTCAAAGAATGGGTGAATCAAAAAGTTAGAATGCTTGTTAGTCCTTGGGCTGGGTTACCAAATTAGTATACTACCATATGGGGGTTTTGTGAGTTTTGGTTTGTGTGTGTTGTGTTTTTTTTTTTTTTTTTTTTTTTTTTTGGGGGGGGGGGGTGGGGGGACAGAACATAAGTTGATTATCCTCACTTTACGGCTCTTGGATATGTGCATAGTAAAGCGTCACTAGTGCGAGAAGACTTTTTGTATAATTCATTATTTTTTTCTTCTGGAAGGGGTGTGGTCTATTTTCATAAGCTCAAGTCAGAGACCCAAGTTTAGGGTTAGCTCTATAACCTTTTTTCTGGGGTTGTGTTTAGATTAGTATTGACAATGGGAAGAAATCTTAGCCCAGTGCTCCGGAGAGAGTTAGAAAATCTGGACAAGGATGCCGAATGTAGGAAATCAGCAATGAAGGCACTGAATTCTTATGTAAAAGAATTGGATTCGAAGGCAATTCCGCATTTTCTTGTACAGATTTCTGAGAAAAAAGAAACCGGGATATCATCCAGGGAACACATAATACCACTGTACGAAGTTCTTGCTCGTGTCCATGGCCCGAAAATTGTCCCTCACATGATAGCATCATGGCTACCATCATCAAGAACTTAACTTCAAGTGCTGGATCTTTTGCACTTCACCAGGCTTGCTCAAAGGTGGTTCCAGCTATTGCTAGGTATGGGATGGAACCAACAACCCCAGAAGAGAAGAAGAGGCATATAATTCACTCTCTCTGTAAGCCTCTCTCAGATTCTCTTTTGGGTAGCCTAGACAGCCTATCTTCTGGAGCTGCCCTCTGTTTGAAGGCTCTCGTGGACTCAGATAACTGGCGGTTTGCTTCAAATGAGATGGTCAATGAAGTTTGTCAGAGAGTTGCTGGGGCTTTGAAGAACCCAACCCTGACCAAGTCACACATGGCTTTAGTCATGGCTTTGGCTCAGAAAAGTAGTCTACTTGTTGAAGCATATGCTAGATTGTTAATTCACTCTGGTTTACGGATTTTGGATGCTGGTGTTGCAGAGGGTAATTCTCAGAAAAAGCTATCAGCCATTCAAATGGTAAATTTGTTAATGAAGTGTTTGGACCCGAAAAGCATATTTTCAGAGCTTGGGTTGGTAATAGAGGAGATGGAAAAGTGTCAGTCTGGTCAGATGGCTTATGTTAGAGGAGCTGCATTTGAAGCACTGCAAACAGCAAGAAGACTAGCCACTGACAAAGGCTCAAAGTTTGAGAGTAATATGGGTTCAATTACTGGGGCTAATGTTGGCAGAAGAGGTAACAGTCGAATGAGAAATTTATGGGGTAGTGAAGATCAATCACCACTTACTGCGTCACCTGAATCGCAGACTGTTAATTCATTAGTTGGGTATAATTCTTTAAGTGAATCACCAATGTCAGGAAGTCAGACCTCTCCGGACTCGGATTATGACCAAAGGAGTGTGAACCAGAAACTTTGGAGGATTTACCAGAATGGTGGTGTGGATGTATCTGTAAGGGACAGGCTATTTTCAGAGGTACATGATGAATTTAGTGATGACCGAGGAGATGAATTCATCGGACTTTTACAGCGAAGTCCACAAATTGGAGTTGTGAGAGGCACCACTCCCGGCCCTCAGGTAAGCCCTCTAAATATTTTCACAAGTGCTTGTCTGCAAACTTGTATTGCAGTGCACAGTTACAATTCACATACTTGCATAAAAATAAAACAAATAACTTGGGTTTTCACCTGGTCAGTTGTTGTACTAAAAGCGAAAAATAAGAGCGACAATGTTTAATTAAGAGATTCTGCTGGCAACGTTACTGTAGATAGGAAATAGACGAAGTTTGCGATTTTCAGCACAAAAAAAAAATATATTTCGGTACTCTCAGCTGTAACCATTGGTATCTTTGGGTAGAAAATTGGGTTATACCTACACCTTATAACCAAAAAGTGCACATTTAACCTTAACTTTCCACGTACTATCCATTTAAATATAATGATTCTATTTGCTGCATTCTCAAACAATCATTTCATTCACACTTCCTTTTTTTTTGGGCTAGTTCATTGACACACTTGTCTGCTATTCAAGATAAAATGTAGTTTCCCTTTAATCCCATACTTGGCACTAATTCTTGTTAAACGTTTCCGGTTTCCTCCATTTAACAATGCTCTTTGTGCTTCAGGGATCATGCTCTCACATCAACGCTGACAATGTCAAGATCTTCACAACTCCAAGAAAGCTAATTTGCTCTGTTCAGGAACCAAACGATGTGGACTTCTTCGAGAACCAAACCAGGAGGTTTACAAGTCCATCAAGCAAATTAGAACGGATTTCCACATCTAGGTATGACCAAAATGGCCTATCACAAGATGCAAATGATGAGACCGAAACATATGGAAATTTGTCTATTGATGGTGAACAGTTCCATGATAGCTCAGAGTCAGTGTATTCAACAGAAGATGTCCGTGCGGATTCTGATCTTCAAGAGTCTCCAAATGTGAGACCTGGAAGTAAAACTGAATCACAAGGTATTAATGTTCGAAAACATCTTCGGAAACGTACTGTCAACATCTTTTGTGGTCTCTTTGTACTCCTATTTGCAGTTTTTGTTTGTTTCTTGTTGATTGATGACCCGGATGAAGGCCTTTATCTTGTTCCCACCTAATTTTACTTTATGGTGTATGGTAATCAAAATTGGATTTTGATCAATGGTAGAATCATTTGGTAAAAATTTTGCCCTCTAAAACTTACGAGCTTCTTGTAACCGGACTGTCATTCAATCATCAAAACTGAGAATTGGATGCTAACTGTGCTGTTTAGCCCAATAGAATAATCACTTTGTTCTTGAAAGATTGGAAGATTTTTCCCGCTGATCCATGGATATCGTGTTCTCATCTTAATATGAAATCCTATGGCAAATTCTTTGCTTTCTTAGCAATGTTTTTGAGTATCGTATATTCAATTGTCTTAATTTTCTCTTTCTGTTCTTACGATGTTGAGTTTATATGTTGTTGCTTGATTGGAAAGTTTATTTAATGGGAATTGATTGCCTCTAGAAAGTAGATAATCATATGCCCTGATACGAAGAGCAAAACCATTTTACGTATGACGGCAACTTGCATAACATTTTTGTCTTCCATTCGTTCTTTTTAGAAAACATTTTGCATATACAGAACATGGAAAGAAAAACTGTTTTTCCCAGAAAGTGTGGAACAAAATTCTCCAATTTTAAGCTGCTTCCTCTGCATAATACTAAGATGGACACAGAGACAGGCTTCAGTAGAATTTAGAGATTCGGGTTCTCTAACTGCTGCCCACCTCTCCATTCACCATTAGGCTGCAGGATTATTGGTTCAAGCAGGGCTGACTGGCCTATGCATATATAAGCAAACTTGCCATACCAATCATAACTTGAGCCAGGACTGAACATGTACAGTTCATTGAACCCCTTTCTTCCTACTTCAATGGAGTTTCTTCTACCCTGTTAGACATTAAGAAGCAACAAAAGCAAAAACAAAAGTATCATTTAGCTCAAGCTCGAGATGTCGAAATAGAATTAGTCAAACAAAACACTTAGCATTATTGAAATAATTTGTTTAGTTCAATTGCTTACTGCAGGAATGATTTATTTTCATGGGATTATTCTCAGAGATGTTCTATTGTAAATATAGTTAAGCATCGATGTTAGAAAGAAGAATGTGATAATAGCTGGTGTTCATAGTCATACCCTGTCAATGATGGTAAAGTTCCTAGGTGCACTAGTGTAAATCCTGCTCATTTTCTCAGTTAAATTCTTGTAATTTTCTTTTTCTTCACCCTCCAACTCTTCGTCTGTTGCTTTCTCTATCCTCTCTACATCATCAGCATTGTTCTGATCTCTAACGCCGCCCCAGCCGGACAAAAGTTCCCTGAATGCCATAGGATCCCATAAATTCTTAGAACCCAAACCCTTTCTCTTGTCGAAATCCGGAGGAATTATGCTAAAATTTGACCAAACTGGTGGCCTGCTAAAGAAATCTGAGCCTTCCAGTCCCACCGCATAAGTTGCTTCTGGTGTACTCACTATGAGATGGCTTATAACAGAACCCCTCAGACAGAGTGATGTAGGTTGTGAGTTAGAGATGACAATCTCCGAGCTTAAAAGATCCTGCTGGAGAGTCACAATATGTTTAACTTCAACCATGTGCTCTGAGTTGCTGCTAATCAGTTCTACCTGCATTTCACAAGTTCATTTCTCAGAAATTTGTTCTGAAACTGTGTACTTAAAAGACACAGCCAAAGTGACAAAAAAAAAAAAAAGAAGGGGAAGGGGGGATATTGCGAAAGTGGCAGGTGATAAAAAGATATATTGGCCAAGACAAGCATCAATCCACCTTTCGTTTTGAGATCAATCCACGTTTCAAATGTACCAGGAGTTTCACTCGACTCATAGTTGGCTCGGCCGAGTTGTTCGACTAACTATTCCGTGGCATTGCAATACTCTTCTACGATTCTGAGATATGACCTAAATTTTTCGTCAATTTTAACTTTTTCCTCTATCCAGCATTTTGCACATGTTGCCCAAAATCAGATTCGATTGAAGCAATTCAATGCTTCTCGAGTCCGTAGCCAATGCCACGACCTTGACCCATATCATAATGACACAATCACAACACATAAAATGACCTGACTCATTCTTCAAAGTATTGGCCCATAATGATATGGCTCGGCACCTTCTGTTTGGAGATCGATCCACGTTTCATATGTACCAGGAGTTTCACCCAACTCGTAGTTGACTCAGCCGTGTTGTTCGACTAACTATTCCGTGACATTGCAATACCCTGCTGCGATTCTAAGATATGACCTAAATTTCTCATCAATTTTAACTTTTTCTTCTATCCAACATTTTGTGCGTGTTGCCCGATATCATTATGTGATGCGGCAAACAAAGTTGACTGAAGCAATTCAGAACTTCTCAAGTCTCTAGCCAATGCCACGACCTTGACCCATATAACAACACCATGTTCTGCCCTATTTGGACCCATACCTTTTGTTATATCCCACTATAGTACACCTATAAGAATGTACCGAAAAAATTTCCCATTTCAGTACATTTTTGGGCTCTCTCACTCATCAGGAAGGTCCTCAAAACTTGTCATATTGAGATTACAATTACACAAATAAACTAGAAACAGACCATACCTGAGTGTATTCTTGAGGACTTCCTCTAACTTGATGAAGAGCCCAAGCACTTGGAGACCATGAAACCTTTTCTTCACTTTCACATTTGAAGGCCAATGACACCCCTCCTTGAATAACAGCACCACCACTCTCCACTTCCGATACCGATGTATGAAGCAATTCTAGGGTGGAGCCATGCCACATAGGAGCCTTGTATGATGTTATCAGACCACTTGGCAGCATCAGAGTGGCCACACTTCCATTCTCCAGACCCATCCTGACCACACAGCTGTCGCCGATATCCGAAAAGGTAACACCATGTCCACTGAATTGGCTTTGTAGGTAGTCCTCATTGATAGATGGGTATGGGATTGAAGACACTGCTGGCAATGGGAAATCTCTCTTGTTGCTGCAATGGAGAGTACTGGAGGGAAGATAAGGGAATGTAGTTTTTGTTACTGGTTTGATGGGGGGAAGAGAATTGAATTGGACAGAGAAGAGGGTACCATAAACAATGGTCATGCTTTCTTCTTAATGTAAATGTTTTTTCCTAGTCGAGCATGTTATAAGTTACCTTATTTACTACTAAATTTTGATATGCTATCGAACTTGGTACCGCAGCCTTATCCTTTTACAGTTGATGGGAAGAGAGAGTGAAACAGGAAGGGGAGATGCCTCTCATCCTCACTGATTCAATCTAGGTCCATATTTGGATAACCTGGCTTCTATTTTTGGTTGGTTCTGATTGAAACTTCACAGATATTTCGGGTAATCTCTGTTTTTTTTGGCTCTTTTATCTCTTGACTAGATTAAAGATATTTTCAGGCGTAAATTACACTTTATCCCCCTAAATTATTACTTTTATTTCACTTTACACTCTTAACTATTAAATTTCTCATATTGTATCATAAACCTAAAGTATTTATTTTATTTCATATTACTCTAATAAATAACGACTGTCAATTTTTTGATTGTAAATGTGCATGTGAGTGGTCTGTACTATAATAAACAATTACCTATTGTACATGTACAAGTCAAAAAGCAAGAAAAATATTCGTCCATGACTTTCGCTTTCTTAAACTCCAAATTTTCTTTCTCTAACTGACCTTCTTTTTCTTTTCAACAATCATTTGCCTGTAAAAGAGATAAAATAAAGTGGTATTAGACACTTGGCAGGAAGTTATTTGGGATTTTCCTTCCTCTTTTGGCAAATTTTTAAAACTCATTATCTATTGGAGTGATATGAAATAAAATTAATATTTTAGAGTACAATGTAAAAAATTTTATAGTTGATAATATAAAGTGAAACAAATGTAATAGTTTAAGGGTAATTTACTTATTTTTAATTAGATTTTTCTTTTCTGTTCTTTTTTTTACCCGACAAGCCTGCTCACATATTTTTTCTATTAATATGAAAAGACTTGCGTTGTGGTTGGCCTCATCTTCTCAAGATCTTTTAGAATGTCACACGATCTATTAACAATTTAACATGACACGAATACGATACAAAATTAAAAAATTTGAATATTTATAAATTGCTCATTTCGTAAATAAATGAATTCTATATGATACGATTAATAAGCGAATTAAGTATAAATAGAATCAATAAAAAAAAATAATACAATACACTTTCAATAAAACACAACTTGTTAGACACAAGTTTGGATATAAATGAAGGGCCAGTCTATGGAATTGAAACTAGCCTTACACATCAAGGGACTGTTTGATGAGGGGGTATGAGAGGTCTTAGTAAGATAGGTTTGGAAAAAATAGTCCAAAAGATCCTCAAATTTCATGTTTAAATTGAAAATTCAATTCGGAGCTTCCAAATCTGGTCCGTAACTGGCTTGAATATTAAATTCATGATCGTGAATTTCGTCAAAACTACGAAGGGGGTGTGTTTAGAAAAATGGGTTAAAGGGTTAAGGATGCAAAAGATAATTATATCCCTTAACACATGTATGAATTAGATTGATTAAAGGTAAAATATTTATTTACAGGACAAATAATTATTAATAATTATAATATATCCTTAGGTCTTACATGTATGTTTATTGCATATCAAACATGGGTATGAACTGAATTTAATGTTGAATCTCATCTTTATAAAGAGGAGTTTGAATTTGAAAGGATTTAGTGAAACCAATTCAATCTTTCCCCAAAAATTCATCCAAACAAGTTCCAAAGGACTCGAGCTTCCATCGAACGAGTAGCAAATATGAGTCAGTCAATGTGGCAACCCCATGGGCCAAATCGACCCATGGACACATCTGGATCCACATCCGATTCTTTTAGATTTCATATTTTGGTAATCTCAATACAATTCAATCATTCATCCCTCTTTCTAAAATATATCTATATAATAAAGTAAAACGATTTTGAATTTTGTAGACAAAGAGCGGTTGAGATCGTTTTAAAATCAAAAAAAGCATCATCCAACGGTCGACGTTATTTTAAACTGTCTTAAACTATTGACGTTTCAGATTGTTTCAATCCGACGTACTATATTAATTCTTAGAATATTTTTTCCGCTAAAAATTTAGTTTCCAAAATTAACATTCCTAAATTAAATTCCCCCAATTCATTCACTAATACGTCTTCTTGCCATAATTTTGTTTAGTTGCCTATTTCATGTCCTATTTTGTTCATGACCAAAAAAAAATGTCCTATTTTGTTTAGAAATTTTAATTTTTGAATTCGAGCGCCCTCAATCAAGTCCAAATCCCCTCTCGGGGAAATCTTTACACGGCATCCCTTCTCCAAACCTATGATATCCCCTCTCGAGGAAATCTTTCTCTCACGCCCAATCTCAGTCACTCCTTCAATGGCCACACCTTCAATAGCCATCGTTTTCCTCTCTCTCATTCATCGTTGTCGACAGTCGCTACCAACAACAGGCAGCAGCAGCGGCTCAGCCACCGTCAGGTCTAGCATCTCTTTCAGGTATCCCACGCATCTTTTCTTCCTCAATATTAATTTGTATCCCCCCCTCTCTCTCTCTTTCTCACACACACATAAACATTCTCCATTGTCGTAACCCCCACTCGAAAGCCCTGCACACCAACTGTTCGTTGAGTTGCCAAGCCAAATGTTTTGTCCAGTGGGATCTTGGGTGCCTATTTGTATATGTCTATTTAGTTCTCTCTATTACAATTAATGAGTGCTTGTTTGTGTGGTTGAGTTTCTTTTATGATTTCTTCTTTGATGGTGGTGATATTTGTTGGGGTAATATTGTTTATTCAATATTCAGTGTTTTTCTTCTGTTCTTTGTTATGGGTTTTTCCGTTAGTTCAATGATATGTCTCTCTTTTTTAATAGTGGTTTGGTTATTTTGATATTATATTTCAATTCGATTAAGGCAATTAGTGGTTGACTGCACTTAATCGAGTGCAAACTTTTTCCCCAATGCTTTATTATTTTCTTTTCTTTCAACAAGCAACGAAATGAGACTTAATTTTTTGGGTTTTTGAGTTCATATTTTTGAGTCATTGCTCATGTTGAAAATCAGTGTTTTATTTTTATTACTTTATTCACAAACAATGTTGGATTACAGTGTATAAATTATTTTGAATTTGAGAGAACTTGTTGGTGGTAAAAAACCAAGGTTTATGTACATCATCTTCAAATGTTCATCCAAGTCTTAGAGTTTACATCACATTTGTTAGTTATTTTCAGTTCATTCAAAGAAAACCTACCCCAAGCTGCCATCAAGAACAGTCCTGTTAAAAATGCTGATATTAAAAATGTAGTTTTACCTATTGATAATTGAATATTTAACTATTTAATTCTATGTTTATGTTTTTTTTTTTGTTTTTTATATTTTATCGGAATTTGGGTGAGATTTATGCAATTGGGGTTGCAGTTTTGGTGGGATTTTTTTCTTTACTTTATTTCTTTTGGTGGAGTCACATGAATTAGGAGATAGTCATTGTTCAAAAAAAAAAAAATTAGGAGATAGTTGTTGAAATTGGTTCTATAAATCTCAACCTCTACATTAACTCAAAATTCGGCTAGTGAAAACATAATATAATGTGAGTGATACTTTTGATTCAGCTGGTGCATTGAATTATTACTATAAGTGTGGTACATTTCCTATTGGTTTGATACATATGATCAATTGCCTTGAATCTTAGTTTTCTCTTATATCTTTGTAAGAACAACAACATTTGATTTACAAAGGTTGGATCTTAAAGGACGATCAAACGCTTCAAATAGTAATATACATGTTGAACTCATCTCTTTCTCTTTCTCTGTCTCTTTCTCTCCCTCTCTCTCTCTATGTTTTCAATGCACTTCATGGGCAGAGATTATGGTTCAAAAGAAAAACAAACTTCATTTTCTTAAAGAAATCTTATTTTGGTAGGTTTATTGCTGCAATGGTTTTCATGTACTAAACAACATTATAAAAAAAATTAAAAAAATGATTTGAATTAGAAAATATTTTTAAGATGGCAGTAGCTTCTTTTTAAAGTGGATTTATGTATTATATTTTCAAAATGTGTCCTATTTTAAAGTCTCACCATGTTTGGCACCTAAAAGTTAAGGTGGGATCGGTTATTAATTTAGTTTTCTTATAAAGAATTTAAAGTATTCAAAAGGGTACGATAGAACTCAGAATTTTTTTTTTCTATAATTTTGGTTTCTTTTGATTGTTTAGCAAGTTAGTATTTGAAACATATTATAATTTCTAAAGTATTTTTACGAATTACTTCTCATAAGTACTTTAAAAAAAATAATATTTGAAACCGTCTCACCACTACCTCTACCACCACCGTTACCTCTACCGCCACCACTGCCACCGTCGTCGACGATGCCACCACAGCCTCCACCACCACAACTATCACCATCGTCGCCACCACCACTACCATAGTCGCCTCCATCATCGCCGCCACCACCATTATCGTCGTCACCACCCACCATCGTCGTCACCGCCACCACCGCCACCTCCATCGCTACCACCCCCCACTGTCGTCGCCGTCATCGCCATCACCACCACCGCTACCACGATCATTACCACCCACCATAACCATCACCGTCTCTTACCACCACCACTGTTGTCCATTACAACCAATGTTTAAATTCATTTATTTCTGCTCTATGTTTGTGATTTGATTTTAAAAATGAATACAAATATATTTGATTAAAATAAAAAAGTTAACTAGGGCTATTCACCCGAGAAAATTGGCAAAAATTTTTGAATTCCATGCTCCAAGTCAACGAGTTACACAAGAATATTTGTGACTGATCTTACCCGATTGAGGGTAATGTTCCGAACCGAGTTTCATCCAAAAAATAAACTCTGAAGGCCGGTAAAGAATGCCTAATGCCTCACAAATTTTTAAGCTTTAAATTATTAATTTTTGAAATATTTTAAAAACGCAATTACCAAAATTTTGAGCTCTTTTTACAACTAGACCGTTAAAATATATAATATAAAAGATATGTATACCAATACAATAAATTAAAAAAAATACAATAAATCTAATTAATATGTTCTCTAATAGTCTAAAACACAATCGTAATTCATATACTTCTTAAACAATAAACAAAACGACATTATTTTATAACACACATTATTAAAAAAACTACAAATTAAAAAAACTTTCCATTAACCGTCCAAAAATATGCGAAAGCTAAAGTATTAGATAAAATAGGATCGAAATATTATGGAACAAGTCGGTGGACTTCTCGAATGGTAGATGATGGGACAATCATCCGATATTTGGACTCGTGACTATAAAAAAATGACGAAAACGAGTAGTTTCTTTCTGTCCTGAATAATTAAATGAGCTGCATACATGAACAAAAGGCTCGAGCTTGTTGGGTAAGTGAGAATATAGACCTGTACGCTAGCATAAGTCAATTCTACAACCATTCAACCATGCCTTGTTCAGAAAATGATGATAACTTTGAAGCTAAAATGAATCGTATTGATCTTGTAACATGTAGTTTCTCCTCAAGAATAAACCAGCTACTCATGCAATCACACCATACCATTAAGCATCCCCTCTCAATTCATCTAAAGAAGAAATGCTATCATCAGTACATCCTCCATCGCTTCAAAAGAAACTCAAGCACAGTTTTTTTTTTTTTTTACACTACAGGGAGGGGGAGGGAAAGGGAAAGGAGGACGCAAACCATCAACCTGCCACTCCATTATAGAGGGCTCCAACTATCCGGGTAGGACTTCAGTCTCGAGCACGGGTTATTTGAATACTAAATTTTGTTCAAAATTCCGAGAGTCAATGCTATTACCCTCATTTAGTGTAAATTACATTAAGAATACAATTGTAATCAATTCATCCTTAGTTAGGAACACTTACTTCCCTCAAGACTTTTGCAGCGTCCTCTGGAAAAACAGGATTTATGTAACAACCCGTCCCTAACTCGAACCCCCCTACACCACTCAACTGGGGTACTATTTGAAGAAACCAGTGAAGGTAAGGAAACAGTGAGGGGGTCACATGAAGTGGGGAAGCGTGGATCATGAAATTGAATGGTGGATTGTTCAACTGCAAAGACATCTTTAGAAGCATAAGTTTCAGTAAACCCCCAAGATCAACCGCCTGCAAAATTGCACATTGCAATTATTTATGCGTCTAAATTAAAAACAAACAAGTTGCACATGTTCAGTAAGAGCAATCAAATTAAAACACATGGAAAAGTTATGGTTTATTATTGCAAGAGATGCAGGATTTTCGACAAGAAAAGGGTATATATTGCTGCATAGAGCAAAAACATTATGTGACGTAACGCAAAAAATACCTTCTCGGCATCTATTTCGTGAAAATGTGAAGAGTGGTCCCGAGGAATGATCCATATTTCAAAAGGAAAAGTGGCAGCAAAAGGAACAATAGAAATGAAATGGGTTGATTCATCAATTAAAAGGTCCTTTGATCGAATCTCACAAAGACTGCACTTTCCAGTCAAATCAAAATGGTCCTTCATACTCGCGAAACGGGCAGAAACAGTTGGAGGAACAATCGGAAGAGACATTATCTGACTATGAGAATGACTCATTGAAGCTCCAGCTGAAGCACCATGGTTTTTGAAAACCTGAAAATTAGATTAACAAACACAGTTGGTATCAGATACCTTAACAAAAGGGAAACGGGTGTGTGTGTGTGAGAGAGAGGGAGGGGGGGGGCAGATTCAATGAAAAGAAAAACACGGAATCTGAGCGTTGGACTTATATACAGAACGAAATAAAAAAACTGGAATATTTAGCAGGTCTGATTAATATATGGCAGCAATAAGCTAGAGAACAACCCAAAATTAAAGTCATTGACAATTTATGGCACATATGAGTACATGTTTTTCATTCTAGGTGCTGGTTTGTATGGACTACCTCAAATCCTAAACAGTGTAAGAACCCCGATAAATACTTATGGCACCTATTTCCTTTTTTCTTTCTAAGGCCAACATTGTACTAAATACTCACTATCATTCATGTCCTTCGTACATACCAAACATGATGTTATTATGTGGTCTCAGTCCTCCAATCCACAGGCTAATATGCAAGCTTTTGAGTAACAAAAAAGAAAAGAGTTTTAGTTTAGGGAGTTATGGGGTGGAATTTCTATTTTATTAATTTGGTAAACAAAAGTGAATTTCACTGATAGGAAACATTCGCATTACAAATCAATGGAAAAGATTTAAGAAACAGGACGCTAGTTGAAAGAAGTAAAAAGCTGCAAAGTTGAAACTAGGCAACCTTGTTAAAACCAAAGCACTACTAAATGCATATCTCGCAAGGTTACAAAATGTATATCTACCATATCATAAAGCTAAGCAACACTACTCCTCCAGATCAAATACCAGGTACAGCAGAGCAGTTTTTCCAACACATAAACCAGCCCTTGCTTGCTTGCTTCAGTACAAAATGACATCTCTCATTCAGCAGTTAACAGTGATACATTGCAGATATGCACAACTTAACTCGTCATAGCATCCCATTAGTTGCTTATCATCTCAAATTTTCCAAACAGCTACATGACATATTCCAGATAAATGCCAACTGCCTATTTATAGATGAATTGGAAACCCTGGCAGAAAATAATAATCCCCCTCTAATAGCTCCCTTATCATAGCAAAAGTAGTATCAGTGTCTTTAAATGAATTGCAAGAATTTTTTCAACTCCTTTCATCACTTCCATGTCAAATGTAATAAACAAAGGCAGCTAAACATAGCCAAGAAAGAAACATTATTGTTGAAACAAAACCAACAACAGCCTTGCAATACTCAAAGCTACGAATGAATGAGTCAAACCCAAATCCAAAGTGATGGGACTTTTCTGAAATACTCCATGATGAAGACACGTGTCCTCGGTATTACCAAAACACTGTTGCTAAGATCAAGCACCATCGGCTCACAAGGGTCCCTCGCTCCCGAGGTACTCGTCATATGGGATGATGGCATTCAGTACGTTTTACAACCGACACGTAGCCTCGGTCTGATATGGTACCTCGGTCAGTATACCTCCCTCGGTTCCGAGATGAGCCTTTCCTCGGTGCCGAGAGGTACCCCGTCCTAGACGCCTCCTCTGCTCCAGGATAAGCTATTGACGTACAGGTCATTAGCCTAGGCTAGTCTAGGCTATTCATCATGACCTCGTCTTACACAATTAGTGTCAGAACGTACAGGAATGCAGGGGCTACAGCCAATGGGGGATGGACGCGTGGCATATGATGTCACATCAAAGACAGAAAAACCGCATGTCGTTGCTGACACGCGACTTGGGAAAACAAACGATTAATTACACCATTCCCTTGACGAGACTGCATTCAATGCAGTAAGGCTCGGAAATGAAAGGCAATAAATGTTCCTAATACAGAGCATTTATTGCATCCTCCCCGAGAGGAGTTCATTGTACCGTCGGCATCCCGATGACGCAGCATTGATTGCTCGGGACCCCGAGCAGTTAAGAAGAAAAGACATTCCTCATCAGAATCAGTGCGCACACTGCCTGTACCTAATGATCACCTACTGACTACACTGACAGCAATCATGAGCTTTTGAGGCATAAATACTCCTTGCAAAAGGCAAGACGGTATGCAACAAAAAACTCTTTACTACAATACACACTCAGTGTTTTCTTCTTCCTCTCTCTCTCTCAAAACTGACTAGATCGTCGGAGGGGATACGCCGGAAAACACTTCGGCGCCCTTCTAACTTGTTCTTCTTTGTTCCAGGAACCTTTCTTCAGCCTTACTGGATCGTTCTTCCGCTCCCCCAGGGTCTCCCGTTGCCGTTCCAGGTTACCACCGGACCTCACAGACTGTTCCAAGCAGCGTGGTTGGTCACTCAACTGACTCACTTGAGTTCACCAAGGGAGAGATCTGTTCTCGTTTTTATATTGTGCAGGATCGTGCACGCACAATCTGGCGCCGTCTGTGGGAAACGACTAATTTTCCTAGTTTTTTCTCTATAAAGAACAGTGACCATGGTGAACACTCGACAGAAAGGGAAAGGCCCCCACCAAAGGAGTCTCGAATTACAAGCTCCCTGTCATCACGGAGAGAGGGATCACACCGATATGAATAAAAGTGCCTCTACTCGGTCAAGAGGGGTTACCCCTCAAACCAGTATGGGAATCAGGTCAGGGGGATCAGCCCCCTTGGCTCGTCAGCTGGCGGAGGTGATTGAAGAAAAGTTTGGCGATAGATTACGACAGCTGGAAAAGGACAATGTAAACGTCCTAAGCCGGCTCAACGAGTTTGCCGCCTCCGGCGAAGGGTCGAGGGATTCATTCCTTTCTCGTGGGCTTCCCGCCTGGGAGGCGAAAACGAAGGACCTAAGAAACCACCTAAACAACAAAGCAAAAAGCTCTAGGGCCCCAAAGCGACCCAGAGCCAGCGAGCATCATCATGACAACCATTCAAGGAAGGCAAGGCCATTGGCCCTGGACGACCTCCGGCGAGGTTTGTCTAGACGGAGGAAGGGAGATGAATCCGAGGAGGATTCAACCCAATCCACACGACGCCCAGGAAATGAGGGGCTTACCGATGAACTCAAGGACTTCAGAAGGCATCCCGTCAGGGAGGAAATTGATCTCAGAGCCCGGTTGGAATCCAGGAGAAAGGGTAAGGCTGTCCAGGATGAGGCCGAAGACGAAGTCATACAAACACCCTTTACGAGGGAGATCGGTGAGATGGAGGTTTCAAGAAAGTTTGTCGTGCCGCGGTTCAAAACTTATGACGGGCGGTCCGATCCCGAAGCCCATGTCAGGCAATACAAGCAGATGATGTCCCTCTATCATTCGGACCAACGGTTTCTCTGCCGAGTGTTTCCTATGAGCTTGGGGGACTCTGCGATGAAGTGGTTCGAGGCGCTTCCCCCCAACAGTATTGGGTCGTGGAAGGAATTGACGAAGCAGTTCCTGGCTCGATTCATTACGGGGAGTAAGCGCCCCAAAGACGTTGGATCATTGCTGACCCTCAGACGTAGGGAATCCGAGACTCTTCGCCAGTACGCCATCCGATACTGGGAAGAGGTTAATGAGGTAGAAGGCTGCTCGGAAGTCATGGCAGCAGCATCTTTCCGGCTCGGCTTGGCAAGGGACACGGACCTGTACCGATCCCTGACCAAGAAGACTCCCTCGGATATGGGGGAACTGATGGCCCGGATAAACAAATACTCGAGGGTTGAGGACGAGATGGGAAGCAGCAAAGGCCGAGCCCTCCAATCTAAGAGAAAAGAGAGGGAGCGGGAAGATATTCCCCGAAAGGGATTGCTACCCCCTCCAGGGGGTTCGTCCAAAGGAGTTCACACTGTGTTCAAGGAACCCATCTTCAAGTTGCTCCATAAGATCAAGCACGAGCCGTTCTTCAAATGGCCGCCCAGGATGCAGAGCGACCCCTCCACCCGTGATCAAAAGGTTAGGTGTTCCTATCACCGGGATTTCGGGCATCGCACCGAAAGCTGCAGGGTGTTCAAATCGTTCTTGGAAAGATTGGTCCGAGACGGATATTTGAAAGAGTACATAGAGCCCAGGCCAGAAGAGAGACAAGCCCTTGCCCCGACCGAGGAGCCGGACAACATCATAGATGTCATCCATATATGTCCCCTGGATCGCCCCACGTCCAAGGAACTCGAGTCCGACCTCAAGAGGGTAGCTTTTACGAGGAAGGTAGCCGAGGTTGATGTAGGGCCACCTAGTAAAAGGGCCAGGACGGGTGAGCTTGGCATTACATTCTCCGACGCGGATTTGACAGGCGTAGTGACTCCTCATAACGACGCCCTTGTCTTGACCCTGAGGATAGGAAAATTCGACGTCAAAAGGGTTTTGATAGACTCTGGAAGTTCCTCGGAAGTGATGTACTCCGAAACTTTAAAACGGATGGGTCTTGGCCTCAAAGACCTCACCAAAGTCAGGACACCCCTCATCGGATTCAACGGCTCGTTCGCCCTGCCCGTGGGGAAAATCACATTGCCAGTTGTCACAGGTCCCTTCGTCATCAACACCGAGTTTGTCGTGATCGATACGGACTCTCCCTACAACGTGATTATGGGGCGAACATGGCTGCATGCGTTGGGAGCGGTGCACTCCACTTTCCACCAGAAATTAAAATTCGCCACGCCAGAAGGTATCATGGAGATCCGGGGGGACCAAGCGTCCGCGAAAAATTATTTTTATTCAGCCGTTCGAGCCGGGGCGTTCAGCCAGGAGAAGGGGCGAGCACCGGAAGAGATTATGGAAAAATAGCAATCACAGTCCGGGCGTCCAGGAATGGATGACCCCCGGATAGACCCAACTGAGCGGTCGGTAGAAGACCTCCGGAAGGTGCCCTTGGTGGAGGGAGAAGAAGAGAGGTATTTCTTAGTTGGGACCTCGATGCCCACAGCCGAACAGGAGGAGATGATCGAGTTCCTAAGGGGAAATACAGACGTGTTCGCGTGGAACGAGATGAAAATGACGGGTGTAGACCCCGAGATAATCACACACAGGCTGCATGTTGACCCGTCGCACAAGCCAGTCAAACAGAGGCCACGACGCATGGCCCCGCATCACGCCAGCGCG